TACATTATTGTGCTATGTTGTTCTCTCTCGGATTAAACCGCTAAGCTGAACAGACGTGAGTTATTTTGCTTCAGTAATAATATATATGTGTGGTGGTCGAATCCCCGGTAAACACGACACGAGTAGCAGTGTTTGCGTTGCTGAGTTTTGGTCTAACGCGTATAGAGAGCAGGTATAATTACAGGCTATGAGGTATTCCCATATTAGTCCTCTTAGATAACAACGCATCTGCAGCCTTATTGGTTTCGAGTTACCTGCAGGTGTTCATTGACTGCAGTGGCCGCTTGCACTTCAGTTTTAAAAAGAAAAAGAGTAAACAGGCTTTTGTTAAGTCTGTTCGCTTTATCATTTTCGGCTGCATCACCATCAATTCTTACGTGGTAGAGCCATGCTGCAGCTATATTACTGTTATAGTTGTAGTACGAATGGATCGGCTCAACTGGGGAAGGACCACCCTCTCACAGAATACCAGCGTAAAATAGCAGCATAACGCTGCTGTGTTTCGTATGGTGAGTGTAGAGAACTAGAGACCCTTTTTTACTGGAAACGAGGCATTCCATCTTAGTCCCCACGGGTGACAACGCATCTGAATTTTGATTCGTAATCGAGGATAGATGTAGATGTCTATAGGCCACAGCAACCACTTACCAATCAGGTGGACTGTGTGCTCGTTTGTCACCCTACTTAAAAAAATAAATTAATAACTTCTCAGAGATTCAGATTCCCTTACAATGCTTTCCTTCACCGCAAGTGTACGAGCACATGATAAATCAGCACTGAAAATTACAATTAAAATAATTTTATTAGTACCGAAGTAGACTTGATTTGGTTTTTTAGCATATTTTAAAATCTTTAGTCGGGCATTTATCTTCTAAGCCACCAAGGTTCACAAATTGTTAAAAAAGCTATTCGCCTGGGTTTCTTACTATTTTTTAAATTGAAGAGGAGGCAAAAGAGAAGTCGCCTATGAACATCGATCACACCAGAGGAAATTCAGGTGCATTGCCGACCATTTAGAAAGGAGTACACCTTTTTCTTGATGGGCTTCTTTTTTCACAAAGTCAATGATTTTTATTCCTCATCGTAAAATCATACAATAACAGTAAATAAATATTATTTTTAACCCGTATTAAATAAAAATTATTACATTATATTCTATTCTTTGTCTCCTTTCCCCGACAGACTTGTAATTATTTCGCACAAAGAGTTTAATTGAATTCCCAACAAACCTTCCTCTTTTGTTTTGTACAAGCTGCTACGTACGTACAAAACAAGTTAATATGACCTTGCATCCGTTCCTTTTGTGTTATTAAAAGCAATTGTTTCTGTGAAGGTTTTCTGTTATTTGTTCAATATATTATTTTGTCCAACGATTCAGTAAGCTGAAGTGAGAATTGTCTGTCGTATAGCTCGAAGAGCGACAGCCTATGGGGTAGAAAAATTCTACCCCATAGGCTGTAGCAGAAGTGAACGGCAGTCCCTTCCCTACCCTGCCGTTCACTTCTGCTACATAAATTGCCGCCTGCCCTAGACAAAGGTTTATCGACCAAATCGGCGATACATGGAAAATGGGCCAGATTAGGAGTACCCTTAACTGACGAGCGTGTATGTGTAGATATATGGATGTAAAGGAGGCGAGAGAGGTGTGTCAGGATCGCGCCAAATGGAAGTCCGCAGTTTCTGCCTACCCCTCTGGGTGACAGGCGTGAGTGTTTGTGTGTGATGTATTGTATATAACGAGATGCATTATTAGGTAGATCGTTACTCTCGGCACGTAAAGATTGTCAATTTTTTTAATCAAAACTAATGATACTGTTGCGCGCCACTATTAATGTATTGGATATGGCAACACTAGTTACCACTAGCGCCCTCTAGTGTCGAGTAGCAGAACTAGGAGAGTCAAGATCCTTCTAGAAATTTCGGAACCGATATGTACTCGAACATTCTAGATGTCGCCACAGTAGAAGGTTCTGGAAACTATCTGAGGCCCTATATAAGGCCGGTAACGACCACGACCGGGACAGTATTGAATTGGCCATATAAGCGAATACTTCGAAGCGAAATAACTGCGAATTAAAGTGATCAGTAGTACAATTGCGTTTTATTATTAGTGTGGTTTTAAGTTGTAATTAGTGTTATATAATTAAAGTGTCAATTTAGGTAATTCAATCGGCAGTTTTTAATTATCTCGAACCCCAAGCTCGTAACAATTGGTGTCAGAAATGGGATAAATCATGCCGATTTTACCACAGGACGACATGGAGGGTATCCGTACCCGAAGTTAACGCCAGCTGGAGACGGACCAGAGACGATTTGTTAATGCAACACTGCAAACGTCGGAAGGCCAGCTACCGACCACGAAGGCCGTCCCGTCAGCAGCTCCTGCATCTGCAGCACCTAACTTAGGTGCTCTGATGATGATTCTGCAGGAGCAAGCTTACCGACAGAAGGAACAGGCCCGTCGGTTGGAAGAGCAGCTGCAGCGCAGACAGGAGGAACAGGTTCGTCGGTTGGAAGAGCAGCTGCAGCGTGGACAGGAGGAACAGGCCCGTTGCTTGGAAGAGCAGCTCAAACTAGATAAGAAAGAGCAGATGCTCCTCGTGAAGGACCTTCACGCTACCTTCGGGAAAGAGATAAGGGAGGTGAAGGATAGGGTTGCTCAATATGACAACCCCCTGTCGGAAGCTGAAACCCGAATCGACCAAGTGTACAAACGGGTTGACCACGTGATGGCTGACGTAAAGAAAACGCTGGACGACCTCAAACTTGGGGATGGAGTTACAGCTCCCGTGGTAGCTACAACACCTTCGCTACGTGGATTCAAAGTGCCGCCGTTCGACGAGACTTCTTCCTAGTCGGCCTACAAAATCCAATTCGAGGCTGTTATGAAGGCGAACGGCTGAAATAAAAGTCAGGCCATGACTGCTCTCACCCTAAGCCTGCGCGACCAGGCCTTAACTGTTCTGGAAGCTCTCGGTAAGGAAGTGACTTACGAGCAGCTCCTTGAGGTATTGGAAGCGAGATATGGCGACGGTCACCTGGAACACGTCTTTCGTGCGTAGCTCAAAGATCGCTCGCGACGCAGTAACGAAAACCTGCAGCAGTTGGCCCTTGAGGTGGAGAAGCTGGTTCGAAAAGCATACCAGTCTGTGTCTGCGCTCATTATAGGGAACCTGGTGCAGTCATTCATCGACGGCGTCCGCGACCTTGAAGTCAGAGCTGCTGTGAGGCCCGGGCACCACGAGACGCTTAAGAACGCCTTGACCCTTGCACTCGAGGTGGAAGCCGTGCGGCGGGATCATCGTTCTCATCGCATCAGGGAGGTTGCAGCAGCTACAATTCGCGACCGCAATAAAGGATACAGCCTTAGGTGCTACGGCTGTGGGGAAAGGGGCCATCTTCGATCCAGCTGCCCTAAGCGAACTGTAGATAGGGAAGGTGATCGATCTCGAGAGGCTAGTGTGGCTAGCAGCACCGCCCAGCAGCAGCAGAAACTGACGGTTGCCGACTGATGTTAGGAGAGGTACACCTAAGATTGTCCATATGAATCGATTGGCGCGTTATTATGGGACGAGCATGTCTTAGGAGGGGGCAGTGTTACGCGCCACTATTAATATCTTGTATATGGCAACACTAGTTACCACTAGCGCCTAATAAAGATGGCTATTGGCTACTGCATTACCTTAACATTAGATGGACTATCAAAAAACATTCGTCACCTAAGCTTTACCTATGAAAGCTTAATAGATGGTAGGGCTTCTTTTCTGCCTAAAATTCCGTGGGGTCCTGTCAGCATAAACAGCTCTAGAAGAGACTTCTAGGAAGAAACCGAGTCCAATTTTAACGTGGGGAATCTTCATGTATACCTCCCGCTGTACCGGTAGCGAAAAGGTTATGCTATACTTATAAGAGACAAACAAGCGTGGTAACTATAGAAAGCATCTACTCTATAAATAAATTTATGGGCTATGTTCAGCAGTGCAATTTTGATAGGTATTTACAAGAAATGACGCTTTGATAGTATCATTTTATGAAACGTGGTACATATTAAAGTGATGATCAATAAAAGGCTTAGCCACTGCGCTAATAATTTAATGTCAACATCGCCGACAGTAGAATATCCTCATTTTAAAAAGTAAGTACTCGTTTCGATCGTCCTTGATTTTTTCCCAGTTCGCCGTTTTTCCTTCCTACTTTAAGTGTCATTTAAAGCGCTGATTTCCCGTGAAGTTAGCTGTGATGTTGGTAAAATTGATATTTGTCACATGATATTCAGAAGACCGTTTACCTCCTCCATACATTACCTTATTTTGGGGGCTTTTTGCCATAGTTGACGTAGACGCTTGGTAGTTGGGTTTACAAGTGCAGCTTTTTATTTTTTATTTTGAGTTGTTACCTAGTATCAGCTGCCCATATTCTGCTTAATTTACTTCTGTCGCCTCTTACAACACGCATGGGATACTATACAGTTGTGGATATTCATACACCACCACTACACGATAAGTTAAGTAAATCAAGAGATATAAGACCATATTATATGTGACAATCAAACTATTTTGGTACTTGGGTGTTGGTAGGTAGTTATCACCTAAAATTATTTTTTTAAAACACAAACATAAATTGTTAATGATGTTAGAAATTTTCGTTTTTGAATTTCTAATCAAGACAGCATAAAGCTTGTTCTTAGACTTACCACATACTTTCTGTTCGTGCAATTAACTTGTCAGTGAAAACTTGGATTTTTTTGAGTCATCTAACATTTTAGGTTATATATTACTAATATATCATAACATATATATATATATATATATATATATATATATATATATATATAACGGCATAACGACAGCGTCGTCGTACGCCGGCACAGCTGATAACTATAAACAGCACGTGCACCGATCACGCCACCGGCGCGCCGCACGCTTTCCCCCACCGTCCCACTACTCGACTTGTTTTGCAACGGGTATAAAAAGAGACTACTCTGAGACTACTTATTCACCATGGACGACCTCGCCCCTACATCAGAAATGGGATCAGATCCACCCCCACTCCATAATGTTTTGGCACAACCACCAATCTCTTTCTTCTCTGGAATGGAAACAATGTTCAAAAAAATGGCTGATAGCATAAATCCGCAACAAAACTGTTCATCTACCATACCGACAGTTTTGGTATCTTTCGACCCCGATGTCCCTGAGTCTGATATTAGCAACTGGTGCGCATTAAGCGAAATGATCATAGAAAAAAGAAAATTAGAAGGTGTTGACCTTATCATTGCACTAACTCATTCCCTTAAGGGGCGTGCTGCTACCTGCCTTACAAAAATACAACCTAACAAAATTTCTTGGCCCACAATTAAGGAAATGCTTATCTCAAATTTTTGTAAACCTATGATGATGCAAGATCATTTCGATCAAATAATTAAGTTTCGCATTTGTAATAAAGATAGTCCCGCTGAGGCCGGCTTGCGTTTATGGCAGCTGATTGAAAGAATCCCTGATGCCAATTTACCCGAACACGTTATCACTGGTTTTGTGGTCTCTGTTTTATCCGAATGTGACGACAAAATTCGTCGTGAATTAAATTCAGTTGTCGTAAACGATAAGCATCAACTTTTTCGTATCTTGCGGGGAATTTCACTTAAAAGATGCAATGAGGAGTCCGTCTCATCAGAAATAGAACACAAGAAAATTCGAACGTCCACAATGTTTAAGGGTAGTTGCCACTTCTGTGGAAGAGTTGGACACCGCGGTTTCGAATGTCGTGACAAACATCGTTTCACTAATAAAAATATCTCTGTCTCACATAAACCCGAGCAAAGGAAGACGATGACATCCTGCTACATCTGTCATGACACCAGCCCCATAGCCAGCAACTGTCCTAAGCGACCTGTCAAGAAAGAAGACGCCCCATCGGGCAGTAAGCAAGTCAACCTGTGCTCCAAGGCAGCTCGCGGTACCCTGGAAACTAGTGGTATGAAGTTGTCGTTTATTTTTGACTCTGGTTCAGAATGTAGTCTCATTAAACAAAGTAAAAGTGATCACCTTGAGGGTTATAGGTTTCATGATCAGATTCTATTAAAGGGTATAGGGGTCAATAGCATTATATCTCCTTTGCAAGTAAGATGCTCGCTTTGCATTCAGGGTTTGCCTTTAAATGTAACTTTTCACGTATTACCAAACGAATGTACAAACAAAGAGGTTTTGTTAGGACGTGATATATTGCAAAACGAAGTTTCTGTGGAAATTAATAGTAACTCAATACATTTTTTCAAGCCCAAGATAACAAATTTCTGTACAAAGCTGAACAATGGACTACAAACTATTGATACTGACTTAACAGGCTCCGATAAAGAAAAGCTTATTAGTATTTTAAATAAGTATTCCAACAATTTTATTAACCAGCTACCAACCACGCAGGTTACCACTGGCGAGTTAAAAATTCAACTTATTGACCCAAGCAAAATAGCTCATAGGCGACCTTATAGACTATCTCCTTTGGAGTTGGAAATCGTTAATAATAAAGTCAAAGAACTATTAGATGCAAATATTATCCGAGAAAGTTCTTCACCCTTTGCAAGTCCCACATTGTTAGTAAAAAAGAAAGATGGTAGTGATCGTTTGTGTGTTGATTATCGGGAGTTGAATAAAAATACGCGTTCTGATAGCTACCCACTTCCATTGATTAGTGACTAAATAGATAAGCTACACGGAGCAAATTACTTTTCAAGTATAGATGTAGCCTCTGGGTTTCATCAGATCAAGGTTCATGAAGACTCGGTAGAAAAAACTGCTTTCGTTACTCCAATCGGTCAGTTCAAATATCTAACTATGCCTTTTGGGCTTCGAAATGCCCCACAGGTCTTTCAAAGAGCCATCAATTCCGCCCTTAAGCCCCTTGACGATGACAGAATCCTAGTTTACATGGATGACGTACTCTCTGTATCGGAAACGGTTAGTGAAGGATTAGTGAGGCTAGACAAATTACTAGAAACACTTTCTAATTCAGGGTTTTCTTTCAATTTTGATAAATGTTCATTTATGAAAAAGAAGATCGAATATTTGGGATATACGATTTCTTCTGGAGAAATTAGACCAAATCATCGGAAAATAGAAGTTTCGCAAAAATTGCCAACCCCAAGCACCGTTACACAAGTAAGACAATTGATTGGCTTGGCCTCTGATTTCCGTCAATTCATTCCCAATTTCCCTAAATTACTAAAACCTCTTTACCCTTTGACTGCCGCAGGGAAAGGGAAAATATCATGGACCCCCGATCATAATAAAGTCCTAAAAACTATAATTACTCATTTGACAAACAAACCTGTTCTTAAAATATTTGATCCAAAGCTACCCATAGAACTTCACACAGACGCGAGTAGCGAAGGTTACGGCGCAGTTCTGATACAAAAAGTAAATCATTTACCTCACGTGATTGCTTACTTCAGCCACCGAACAACTGGTGCAGAGAGTCGTTATCACTCATACGAGCTCGAAACTTTGGCGGTAGTTAAGGCTGTAGAGCATTTTCGGCACTATTTGTACGGTCGTAAATTTACAGTTTTTACTGACTGCAGTTCTCTAAAAGCTTCTCACTCAAAGAAAGACTTGATGCCCAGAGTACATAGATGGTGGGCTATATTCCTATGTCCTATGATTTCGATATAGTTTATAAAGAACGTAGAAATATGGCTCATGCTGATTTTTTTTCACGTAATTTTGCTCATGACGATCTATCTCAAAGTGTCAATCAAACACCAAAGATCGTTAATCTTACAGAGCTGGAAAAGGGATGGCTTGTTGTAGAATAACAACGTGATTCTGAGATCGCAGATACCATTTCAAAATTAAGGTCCAGTGATTATCCGACTGAAATATCACACACGTACGATATTAGACAGGACGTTCACTTTTGAAAAATTGAACGGGGCAAAATTTCAAGATGGTTACCCATTGTTCCTAGATCATTAACATGTACCCTAGTCGGCCATGTTCACAATTAAATAAAACATTTATTCATTCATTCATTCATTACAGCCCTTCACAAGTCCACTGCTGAACATAGGCCTCCCCCAAAGAATGCCACAAAGCACGGTCCTGAGCCACCTGCATCCATCGACTTCCTACATGTCTTACCAGGTCGTCACTCCATCTCGTGGGGGGACGCCCTACACTTCGCCTACCGGTACGAGGCTGCCACTCGTGAACCTTTCTTCCCCATCGGTTGTCGGTTCTTCGAGCTATATAGCCGGCCCACTGCCACTTCAGCTTACTAATCCGTTGGGCTATGTCAGTTACTCTGGTTCTACTGCGAATATCCTCATTCCTAAGTTTATCACGCAGAGAAACTCCGAGCATAGCCATCTACATAGCTCGCTGAGCGACCTTGAGCTTCCTCATACAGCCAGCAGTGAAGGACCACGTCTCAGATCCGTAAGTCATCACTGGCAACACGCACTGGTTGTACAATTTCGTTTTAAGGTTTTGAGGTATGTCTGACGAGAAGATGTGTCGTAGCTTCCCGAACGCTGCCCAGCCGAGTTGAATCCGTCGATTGACCTCTCGGTCGAAGTTGGACTTACCTAGTTGGACTATTTGTCCCAGGTAAACATACTCGTCAACAACTTCGAGCTTAGTGCTCCCAGCAACTACCGGCATAGGTGTGACATGGACATAAAACATTGTAGCCCTACTGTACAAGCACTTCAACACTTCGATATACCGACAGTCAACTTGGCACCGCTGAAGGGACTGCAGCACCGCCCAAATTTCGACGGAATCAAAGGCTTTCTCATAGTCCACATACGCCAGACATAATGGCAAATTGTACACTTCGGACTTCTGTACAATTTGCCGAAGGGTATGTATATGGTCTATGGTGGTAAAGCCCTTTCGGAAACCGGCTTGTTCGGGAGGCTGGAAGTCGTCAATTCTGCGCGCGAGACGATTCGTAATGACTCTCGAAAACAGCACGTAGACGCGGCTCAGAAGGGAAATCCGTCTGTAGTTCTTCAAGAGAGCGTTGTCACGTTTCTTGAAGAACAAGACCACCGCACTTCTGCTCCACGCCTCCGGTGTAATGCCACCATGGAGGACGGAATTAAAGAGCTTCTGAAGGACTTCAAGTACCGGTCTTCCACCCGCTTTTTCCACCCGCTTTCAGAAGCTCCGCTGTAATTCCATCCTCGCCTGGGGCCTTACCGTTTTTAAGGTGCTGGAGAGCCATTCTAATCTCGCTCAGACTGACGTCCGGGATATCTTCGGAACAGTGTCGGATGACACTCGCTCTAGGATCGTTACTCACACTTGCGTGTGGCTCCAAAGATGATGTGTACAGCTGCCCATAGAACCTCTCAATCTCACTCAAAATCTCAGGTGTCCCGGAAACGATGCTGCCACATTCTGTCTTCAGCCTTGACAGTTGGATCTTTCTGGCAGACAGATCTCTGGCAAAGACTTTGGAGCCTTGATTCCGCTCGATCGATTCTTCAATACGAGCTGTATTGAAGTTGCGTAAGTCCCGCTGCACGCATTTGGAGATCTGTCTGTTTAGATGCCTGTATGCTGTCAAGTCTGTTGAAGAATGTAGCTTCATCTCCCGTCTAACAGCCATGAGATTAAGAGTGTGATCGGAGAGTTTTTGTGTTATTCTGCGTCGGTTCTTGCAAAACTTAGCTCCGACCGCATGGACAGTTTCCACGAGCTTGTCATTCATATCGTCCACTTCATTGCAGTCTTCCAGGCACTGAAAACGGTTTTGTAACTCGAGCTGAAAGGTTTCGGGACTTTGGAACAGAGCACGAGGGGGACGGAGCGTTGACTTCATTAGACGAGACCTCTCCAACTTAACGTTTAGGTTCAGTGTGCCTCTAACCATTCGGTGATCGCTACCAGTTTTCACCCTCGCGATCACGGAGACATCACTGAACAGTTGTTGTCTGGTCGTCATAATGAAGTCAATCTCATTTTTTGTCGAACCGTCGGGGCTCGACCAGGTCCACTTCCTGTGGGGCCGCTTCTGGAAGAAAGAGTTCATCATAAAGAGTTCCTCTTTCTCCATGAAGTCGGCCAGCTGCTGGCCCCTTGGGTTCCGTTGCCCTATTCCAAATTTCCCTACTTTCAGCTCGCTGTTCTCTCATGTGCGTAGTTTTGCATTGAAGTCTCCCATTAACACCGTATATTGGGTTTTGGAGGAATGCATGGCTCTAGAGATATCCTCATACATTTCCTCCACCTCCTCATCGGGGTGTGCTGAGGTTGGTGCGTAAACCTGTATGACCTTCAGCGAATACCGTTTGGTGATTCTGAGTATAACGTACGCAACCCTCGTCGACACACTCCCGATCTTTACAACGTTGTTAACGAGAGACTTGTTGACAATAAATCCGACACCTCCTTGGGACAGGTGGTCGCCCTCCCGGTAATAGAGCAAGTTGCCGGATTCGAGGATTACCTTGTCCTCCCCCTCTCTTCGGACTTCGGATAATCCTATAATATGCCAGCGCAACTTGTCTATCTCTTCTTCCAGCTCCACGATCTTCTCGTCAGTCCTCAGGGTGCGTGCGTTGAACGTTGCCAGGTCGAGTCGTCTAAGGTGGCAACCGAACCTCCACCGGAGATTCTTAGCACCCCCTGCCCCGCCGATACCATGGTCGCCACCGTAGCCAGGAATAGCGGGGCCGCCGGGGACTGGGGGCCGTCTGTTTTTTTGCTTTATTCATTGGAGGGTATTTGCCATAGTGGCCACGCTTAGCGAGCGGGTTGGCAACCGCAGTTTTTTTTATTGTAATTTTGGCTATTATCAGGAAGATGCTGCTGCCCATCTCCTGCCTGTTTCCCTTTGTCGCCTTTTACGACACCCACGAGAGGATATGGGGTAGTGGATATTCTTGACCGCCACTACACGGCAAATAAAACATCTTGGCTACGAAAAAACTCTCGATAAATTGTATGATCTCTACTGGTTTCCGAATATGGCAAAATATGTTAAAAAATATATCGATTCCTGCGTAATATGCATAGCATCTAAGGGACCTTCGGGTGCTCAACAAGTACAATTACACCCAATACCAAAACCAGCTATTCCATGGCATACTATTCATCTAAATTTGTCTGGCAAACTAACTGGTAAAAGCGATTTAAAACAATATTGCTCTGTTGCTATAGATGCCTTTACAAAATTTGTAATTTTGGAACATACTACTTCGTTAAATTCTTGTCATGCTATTAAAGCACTGAAAAATTTGGTAAATTATTTTGGTGCCCCCAAAAGAATAATTGCTGATCGTGGACGTTCATATGACAATTCAGATTTTAAAAAATTTTGTAAAGATCATAACATTCATTTACATCTAATTGCAACGGGTTCCAGTAGAGCTAATGGCCAGGTCGAAAGAGTGATTCGAACTGTTAAAAGTCTGCTCACGATAATAGAATGCGATTCCGATAGCTCGTGGCAGGATCAGATAGGTGAAATTCAATTAGCCCTCAATGGCACACGTTGTAGGGTGACCGGATTCACACCTATCGAACTAATGTTTGGAATTCAAGGTAATTCCTTAGAGCTGTCTAAAATAGCTACTTCTTTCCCAGACAATGAAAAACACAGATTAGACCTTGATAACATTAGAGCAAGCGCGTCAGATAAAATCATTAAATTATCACAAGCAGACTCCATTCGCTTCAACAAAGTTAAAGCCAAAATTAAACCATTTTCTATAGGTGATTACGTGTTTGTGAAATCCGAAGAAAGACATCAGACGATATCTAGTTGATAGGAAGTACAAAGGTCCTTTTAAAATTACTGCTGTCTTGAATAATGATCGCTATGAATTAAAACATATAAATGGGTCAAATCGAATTTTTAAATATTCCCATGAAAACTTAAGAGAGGTGCCCCGTGGTCCCTCTGCTTGTCTAGATATTATTGAAAACTGTAGTGAACATAACGAAGAACTACAGCAAGCGGATATTAATGATCATGAAATCTATGCCCAACTTACTACTACTAGCTCACGTACGATTTCAATTGATTCTGAAGATACCATGTCTGTTTATTCTGAACCTACAATTATAGTAACACAAGCTGATATCCATAGAGCTAATGATAGTGATTAACATGTATCTTGAAAATTATCATTGTAGGGCTTAGCCGGTCCAATGATAAAAGTTACAAAAAAAAAGAGAGACAAAAAAAGACGTTTTGAAGGGCATATTGCCGGACCAAAACTGATTAGTGTTGCAGGGTTCAAAGGAACCGGTCCAATACTAATTGCCTGAAGGGTCAATGTAGACCGGACCAGAGCTGATTATTAATATCTTCAGGGTCATTATAGACCGGACCAGAACATATTGCCGAATTTGTAAAAATTTATGATTTTTTGTCTACTGTTTCAGAACGATAGTGATTCTGTTGCTGCGTACGAGGACGTCCGCATGTCAGAATGGCCGTGACGGCATAACGACAGCGTCGTCGTACGCCGGCACAGCTGATAACTGTAAACAGCACGTGCACCGATCACGCCACCGGCGCGCCGCACGCTTTCCCCCACCGTCCCACTACTCGACTTGTTTTGCAACGGGTATAAAACGAACACGTAGCGACGGATCGGCAGTCTCGGCTCTGGCGTGACTCGGTGCTCTAGTTGTACCAGGTTGTAGCTTATCCTAGACGCTCAAAGATAATTAGTATAGAATTAATTATTATCCTTGATTGTAAAAGTGCACTACTGCAATTTATAATAAAATAAAATAAATAGTGTTCCGTAAATCTCTGAGACTACTTATTCACCATGGACGACCTCGCCCCTACATATATATATATATGTATATGTATGATTAAAAATAAGGTTTTAGATAGATAATAAACATTGAAAGATAGCAGGCAATAATCCAGAAAAATATTTATGACTAACGTAAAACCGATAGCTCCTAAGTATAGTGAGCCATCTAACATTTTACTTGTTTTCAGGTTTTGACGGTATTAATTGTAAAAACAACCTAAAATTCATAAATATTTTTAGAAATAATGTAAATCAGCGTGAAGTGGAGGTTTACCTCTGCATTTCGCATGGTGAGTGTAGGTGGCCGGAGGCCCTTTTTACTGGAAATGAGGCATTCAATCTTAGTCCTCACGAGTGACAACGCATCTACATTTTGATTTATAATAGAGGATAGATGTAGATGTCTATGGGCCGCAGCAACCACTTACCATCAGGTGGACTTTGTGCTCGTTTGTCACCCATATCCTATAAAAAAGTGTACTAGTTTACGTTCTGTTATTTAAAATTTCAATACGACGTACTCTAAGCAAACTACTCGGATTCAGTACACGCGGGTGGGGTACTTTGAGCGATATACACGAACTGGACCAATATACAGCGTTCGCGTGGCACGTGAGTATGTCAATTTAGGTGTATATATTGCGATCAATATATTAGATTTGAATTATAAAATCATTATTTAAATAAGCATGGAAGGAACACTGCAAAGTGTTAGAGCAAAACACTAGTAGATTTAAAACACTCAAATTATATTAGGTTGTGAATTTGTAAATTCAATCACACGGTTGTGATTAGACAATTTACCACCCCTCAGAAAAATATAATTGAAATGCTCGCGAAAACTCAATTTATCATTGAAAATTACACCCAAACCCTTAGTTTGACTCTGCCTGTTAAGTTTTTGGCCATATTGAGTATATCTAAAATGAATTTTATTTATTTTTCTAGTAAAGGACAACACAAAACATTTATTAATATTTAAATACATGTGATCATCAGTACACTATCTTGCCACGGTTGCGCTAGCCATTTGTAGTGCTTCAGCGTTTTCAAGGGTAGCCACTTCAGAGAAAATTTATAAATCGTCCGCATATAGTCATCTGGGACATTTCAATTGCGGAACAAGGTCGCTTATAAAGGCAATGAACAGTAAAGGGCCGAGAATCGAGCCTTGTGGGACACATGAGGTAACAAGAACTGGGTTGGATAGTTCACCTTTGAAAGCCACCAGCTGACTCCTTCGAGACAATACGATTTGACCCACCGAAGGAGCGAGCCATGTATACCCATTTGACAAAGTTTTTGACAAAGGAGAAGATGTTCAACCTTGTTGAAAGCTTTAAAATAGTCGGTATAGATAGAATCTACTTGAACATTTTTAGCAAAAGCACAACATTAATAGTTTTTTTATTCTAGTAAGTTGGTGATTGTAGATTTATTTTTAACAAAACCGTGTTGGTTGGTCACAAAAGAGGTTTTATGTGATTATAAATGAGCTCAGACACTAAAGATTTGAAAAGTTTCGCGCAGCAAGACAGTAAACTGATAGGTCTGTAGTTTTCGCAAATAGCTCTGAATAGGAATTTGATCTCTTTTAATAGTAAAATGCAGTAATTTGCTCAATCGACCTTTACTTGATCTCTAAATTTTACAACGACGACCGGTACAACATTTTTTAAACATACCTACACAGCTTACGGACTAATATTAGCATGAGAACTGCTAATATAATTTGACAGGCGCTTCAACATGCCCCCCGGCGTTGAAAGTCTACCTTTCAACCAGATTCTTCAGGTTCAGGAAGCGGACAAATTTTGCTAAATGATACCAGTCGATGTTTTGATATCCGCCACCCTTGATACGCCGTCCGAGCCTGGATGGACTGCGACGATGCGACCCATCTTCCACTTTAATGGCGGTGAATTCTCCTCTTTTAGGAGTACCAGTGAATTTAACTTCAAAGAGCCTTTACAGGAACGCCATTTCATCCGCAGTTGAAGCTCTGATATATATTCCTTGCTCCATCTAGCCCAAAAATGTTGACGTAATTGTTCTATTCGTTGAAATCGGGTTAAAGAGCTTACGGAATGATCTTTATAGTCTGGTGTCGGCAAGGAAGTCAAGGGGCGTCCAATCAAAAAATGACCGGGCGTTAGTGGTAGCAAGTCTTCAGGATTCGTTGACAAAGGTGTGAGTGGTCTGGAGTTAAGTATAGCCTCAATTTGTATTAATGTGGTATTTAGTTCCTCGTAAGTCACATTACAATTGCCCAGCACTCTAACTAAATGATATTTAATGCATTTGACACCAGCCTCCGCAAGCCCAGCAAAATGGGGAGAATAAGGCGGTATGAAATGGAAATTAATTCCTTCATTTGCCATTACCTCAGATAAAGAATTACAATACGTCCTAATAAATTTTGAAATGTCATTGTATGCGCCTACAAAGGAGGTACCATTATCCGAATAAATATTAAGAGGTTTCCCTCTTCTAGACATAAATCTGCGCAAAGCTAATATGAAGGTATTGCTAGTTAAATCACCCACTAATTCAAGATGAATTGACTTAGTCGCGAAGCAAATAAAAATAGCTATATACACCTTTACAATTTTACAACCACGGCCATGGCGAGAAACAGATTGAATTGGTCCCGCATAGTCTAGTCCAATATTTTGAAATGGAAAACCAGAAAGGATGCGTTGGTGTGGTAGGTTGCCCATTATTGGAGAGATGGTTTTTCCTTTCATTCTATTACATCTTACACATTGTCGATAACAAGATCTGGCCAAATTACGACCTCTAATCGGCCAGTACATCTCTCTTATAGTGGCCAACATTAGCTGTGGTCCCGCGTGCATTAACCTTATGTGCTCATAATTGAAGAGCAATTTGGTAAAATAATGAGTGGACTGTATAAGTATGGGATGTTTTTTCTCATAACAGTAATCGGAATTTTCAAGACCAACACGCATTATTTTATTATCATCGAGAAATACATTAAATTTATGCAACGGACTTTTAGTGGGTAAACTTTTATTTTTAATTAACATGGTGTATCCCTCAAATGATTCACTCTGAGATATTCTTATAATAACATTGAGTGCGGTTTGCAACTCTTGATTGCTTAGAGGACCGTGAACGGATTGCTTTCTACAATTATTAATAAAACGCAGCACATAAGCAACGGTCCGATTTAATCTAGTATATTTAGAAAAGCGTTTAAATTCAATTAATTTATTCCCACCTAAATCTTCATTGTTGCTAGAATGAAGTATTCCGTGGAGGATAACATTTGACGATTTAATCTCAGGCAACTCGTGATTAATACTTAAGAAATTTGCAGGCCAGTGAGAGACCTCTTTCTTTAAAAATTCAGGTCCTGACCACCACTTACTCATGGATGAAATATCCTTACAACTCACACCGCGAGAAATATGATCGGCCGGATTACACTCTGTTGGGACATGCCTCCACTCGCAATTTCCAGTCTTCTCTAATATTTCAGCAACCCTATTTCTGACAAAGGGTTGTAGCTTGCTAGGTAACACCTTTAACCATCCTAACACGATGGACGAATCTGTCCAAAAGAAAGTGCGCTTAGCCTGTTGTCTCAGCGATGCTACAACCTTTTGGTAAAGGCGAGCTCCAACAAGTGCACCACAAAGTTCCAGTCTTGGGATTGTTATAGGTTTAAGCGGCGCGACACGACTTTTCGCCATCAATAATTGAATTAAAACCTCACCCTGATCATTAACACTACGCACATATAAACAGGCGCCATATGCTTGCTCAGAAGCGTCCGAGAAAATATGAAATTCAAACAAACTAGGCGAGTCACAAATAACACGACGTGGAATACGTAGAGTATTTAATTTAGGTAAATCGACTATTATCTCAGCCCACATCTTGCTGATTTCTGGCGTCAACTGCTCATCCCATGACAGCTTGAGCAGCCACAACTGTTGAAGAAGCATTTTCATCTTAATTACACA